CCCCCCCTCCCTGAAATCTAAAGGGTCACTGAACCCAGCTTCATAAAATAAAGAGTTTTGCACAATGCCAAATCTGCAAGTCAGAACTATTGTGCAGAGACAAGATTTTATTTCTTTATAGAATATGTAGAGACTAGAGACTACTTGAACTTGAGCGGATTATTTCAACTTTAGAAAACTAGAAAACTCGAAGAAGAGATTAAATGAGCAAGGAATAGATTAAGAATGTCCGAACAAAATTTCTTGACTGGACAAAATCTGAAAATTATATTTTTTTTACTTAATATCTATTTTAGACTTAAAAACTTAATAAAACACATTCGAGTTTTTCGTATAGATGAGTTAATAAATTTATACAATATTTGTAGGTTTTTTAAAAGGAATTTAGAAGGACGTCAATAAGTTTTAGAGTTTTAAACTTTTTCAAGTTTCTGGCAGATGAAATATCACTTGCCTCCAGCAAACGGAGTAACAAAATTTTAAACTTGCAAAAATGATGCATCATCTGCAAAATGGGACTGTTCAGAGTTTTGCATAAAGAAAAATTATTTTTACTCGACATCATTTTCCTTAGAATAAAATTGCAACATCCCTCTTCAAGGTCTGGCAGAAGTGATTGAAAAACAATTTGTTAATACAGGGTGTTTAAAAGGGCGTTTCTTTTAGCCTAGATCCAATTTACATGCAAACTTGAAATAGAAATGTGGTTTAAAAAAATAAGTTCTTGATTTTGAACTTTTATATAAAATACAACTTTCCAATAAAATCAAAATTCCTTCAATTAAAAACAAGCAAATGTCAATTCTATATTTGGAACAACAAAATAGAAATCTTTACTTATTTTTTTTCCTTATTTCCCGGACTCCAGGGAGCTATTAATAACATCATATCAAACAACAACAACAACAAAAGAAAGACCTCTAAAGTCTAGAGATCGGAAAGTACGAGAAATACAATTCATAACATTTTTCACTAAATTTTTGTAACAAAAGAGAGTACATATTTCAGTTTGGGTGTGAAACATAAACAAACTTTACAAAAGAGAGTGCAACTTACAATGTCGGAATCGCTTAGCATCCCCTCTCTATACACTCTTCCTCCATCTGAAAATATCAATAGTTGCGTCATTTATAATTATTTTCTTTTATTAATACCAACTTCTAAGCGAGTGTGATTGCAGAATATTAAAGATGAATGTATAAAAGAAAATCGTGAATCAATTGACAATATTTCATCTCGATCTGATTTTTCTGTAAATAGAAGCTGTCCTCATATGAAGGTTTAAAGGGTAGATACCATATGTAAATCGATCATGTCATATCATCACATGTTTTCAATCATAACCCATCTTATTACAGAGCTGTTAAGAAGAGAAAAAATGTTTATATGTAAGCGGATTTGCTATTCTCGTAAACTTGTGCGTAAAATAAAAACTAGAGGAGCTGTGAGGGCACACAGTCTTACTGGCAGTAGCAATGACGCATAAATTTGACTTTCTCAGTGTGACTTTACTCCGTAAAATAAAGTGTCTTATAGGATTCATGGTCCGTTTAGCATGGTCCACATAGGATTCATGGTCCGTGTAGGATTCATGGTCCGTATAGGATTCATGGTTCGTGTAGGATTCATGGTCTGTGTAGGATTCATGGTCCGTGTAGGATTCATGGTCCGTGTAGGATTCGTGGTTCGGTTAGGATTCATGGTCCGTGTAGGATTCATGGTCCGTGTAGGATTCATGGTCCGTGTAGGATTCGTGGTTCGGTTAGGATTCATGGTCCGTGTAGGATTCATGGTCTTTTTCAGATTTATTCTAAAACCTTTCCATTCTACATCCAATTCAACAATGATGTATTTGTAAAAAAAAATCCAACCTTTTTTTGCATGAAATCATGAACGCATTTCTATGCAGTTATGGGTGTAACCGAATTATGAAAAAATGTTGTTATCCTCAACATCTTCGTTTTAGAATTCTTTGCAGAAGTTTTGTGTGTGTGTAAAATTATACTGTTCGAGTTATTTTTATGTACAGCTGGTTTAACCTCAGCATTTATAAATTCTGACCCCTGATTTCTAAAATGTATATGCCCAGGGCTACAAAAAAAGTATTTAAAAGTTGATAAGGTAAAACAAAGGCTAAGGCGTTGGGACACTTTAAAGTCGAGGCTGTCTGAAAATTTGATAACAAACTTTTAGAGTTGTCTACGGAGTTTTAAATGAATTATAATTCGGCTTGTTTTTTGATAATTCATGTTACTTTATGCAGATTAATTATTAGACTGCCTTTTTTCTGTATTCATGTCTACCAACATAAATCTACCATATTTTTTTTCTGTATTTATCTATCTACCTATCTACAATTCTACAATTCTACCTATATTATACCTATCTACCTATCTACAATTCTACCTATCTTCCTATCTGCCTATGCCTATCTACCTATCTACCAATCTACCTATTTGAGGGTTTCCATTAGCACAACTTTTGCGTAATTTTTGCGAAAGAAAACGAAATTTTTTGCTTTCGTTGCGCTACATTTTTTGGGCAAAAAAACACTTTGCACAATTATTCGCAAACTTCATTTTTGTTTTGCGCAATTTCGCGGAACATATTCCCATTAAAAGGTTGATTATATCTTACTTTTAAGTATAATTGCAATGCTTAAAAAGAGAACTAATTACTTGCCTAAAACTCTACTGTGCAAGTGGAACCTGATGCATAATGGCACACTGTAAGATGTGCACGCTCCTACTCCTTTTACATTTCAGATGGAAACAGACACGAAGTATATTTAAAATCTATACATGTCTAGGCCATAGAAAAAAGGATTTGCGAGATAAAACTAAAGGCATAGGCGTTAAGACACTTCAAAGTTGAGGCTGAAATTTGGTAACTAAGGGTTTTGATATTTCAATCATACGCATTCTACTAGAAGTAGTCAACATTTGAAATATCAAAGGTTTTCATTAGACAAAGATTCATGCATCTAAAAAAAACAATGGATCAATTTTTAATTTTCGATTTTCAATTTTCTAATTTCTATGTTGTTAATTGTATGTAATTTTTTTAAGAAACCTTTAGTTATTTGATTCTTTGCTGAAACTTGACTCAAACTCTCTATATTGGTCAATTTGCTTAAAAATATCAATTTTTGCGTACAGATTTACGCAAAAATTCGCAAAACTTATTGTGCTTCATGTGCAAAAGATGTGAAAAAGTTCGCAAAAAAAGGTCATTTCGGGGGAAATCTATCTACCCATCTACCTACCTACCTACCTACCTACCTATCTACCTATCTTATACCTACCTACCTACCTATCTACATATCTACCTATCTTACCTATCTCCATATCTACCTATCTATCTATCTATTTACCTATCTATCTACCTATCTAACTATCTACAAATCTACCTATCTACCTGTCTACTTATCTACCTATCTACTTATCTAACTATCTACCTATCTACTTATCTACCTATCTACTTATCTAACTATTTTCCTATCTACTCTACGTATCTACTTATCTAACTATCTACCTATCTGCCTATCTACCTATCTCTACCTAATTATGTATCTAATATGTAACTTTCTAATTATATTACTAGTTATCTGTCATCTTGAATACTATATACCTGCCTTAAAGCTCAGTAAATTTTTCTAAATTTTGAGTTTAGTTTTAATTTCACACAATCAGAAATATAACTATGAATGAATTGACTTGTTAGTACTGAACGCTGAGCTAGGGTAGGAGCAGAGAAAGAAATTTATATCAGCTGCAGATAGATATATAAATGTATAAATATCAGCAGTAGACAGATAAATAGAATATTAATATCAGCTGTAGACAGATAAATAGAATATTAATATCAGCTGTAGACAGATTAATAAATAATTTAATATAAGCTGTAGACAAATAAACAAATATAATAATATCAGCTGCAAACGGATAAATAAATATTAAATATATAAATATAAGCTGCAGAATGCAGACAGGTACAAAAATATATAGATATCAGCTGTAGACATATAAACAAATATATTATTATCAGCTGTAGACAGATAAATAAATATATTAATATCAGCTGTAGACGGATAGATAAATATTTAATATATAAAAATCAGCTGTAGACAAATAAATAAATATATTATTATCAGCTGTAGACAGATAAATAAAAATATTAACATCAGCTGTAGACGGATAAATAAATATTAAATATATAAATTTCAGTTGCAGACTGATATAAAGTAATATATTAATATCAGCTGCAGACAGACAAATAACTACATAAATATCAGCTGTAGACTGATAAATAAATATAGTAATATCAGCTGTAGAAAGGTTAATAAATATTTCAAATCAGCTACACATAAATTCATATATTTATATCAGCTGTAGACAGATAAATAAATATATTAATATCAGCTGTAGAAAGATAAATAAATTAAATTTGTTTTAGTGAATTTGTTCTATGTAATTTATAAGTTCTAAAGATTATTGCAATGCATATATTTGTAATAAAAAAATATTTAATTCAAACCAAATATGAGAAAATATGTTTCGACAATTCCTTATATTATATAATTATATATCTCATCTATAAGTTTATATAATGTCAAAGTTTTCACATGTATATCTAGACAACTATAAAGTCTGATTTAAACGGTGTCGCTTCACTTCCTAGGGTTTAATTTTTACCTCACTGAGCTCACTTAAATACTTTTTGTAGCGTTGGACACACACATTTTAAAACTACAAGGCGCTGATTCAGTTTAAAAGAAGTAATTGGAAATATCCTGATTGATTTTTTTTAAAAAACTTGCATATTTTGTGTGCAGTGTTCAATATTTGCGAATTATTTTTGTCCATATCGATAATTACTTAATTTTTTTTGTGAAGATACATGTCAGGTTAATCATGTCCAACCTTCAGTCTATAAATGATTAAATTATGATAATGAATACGTAACGATATACATAATATAAATAAATCTAAACTGCGTGTATAACTTTAAAAACATATTTCTTGAGATCTCCTAATGTGAATATAATTAAGAATGAGAGTAAAGATATCTAAAATTACGTTGTATATAACTGTACCTTATACCAGGAAGGGTGAGGGGGGGCCGAGGCCTCCCAATTCTTCACAATAATTTTACATTTTACTTTTATTCACCGGGTAATACAATCTGCCCTTTATCCTGACTAATTCACGTATTCACTTAAAATTAAATGACAAAGCTTGCCTCCAGCGAGCCTCCAGCTAGCCTCCTTTACGCAATATATCTGTATACGGAGGCTGCTCTAGTAAGGCTGGGAGGCTGGCCTAAACTGAACCTAGCAATCAATAAATTATTTTACATCAATTTGTAATTATTTTACATCAATTTGTATTTTTTTCACAACAAGTTGTAATTATTCACAATAATTTGTAATTATTTACAATAATTTGTAATTATTCACAATAATTTGTAATTATTTACAATAATTTGTAATTATTCACAACAATTTGTATTATTTCACAACAATTTGTAATTATTTACAACAATGTGTAGTTATTTAACAATAATTTGTAATTATTCACAACAATTTGTAATTATTTCAAAGCAATTTGTAATCATACAAAAACAATTTGTAATTATTTCACAAAGTTTTGTAATTATTTCATAACATTTTTTAGTCATACCACAACAATTTGTAAATATAAAAAAACAATTAAAAATTATTTTACACAAATTTACAATTATTTTATAAAAGTTTGTAATTATTTTACAACAATTTGTAATTAATTTGCAAAATTTGTAATTATTTTACAACATTTTGTAATTATTTCACAGCAATTTGTAATCATACAAAAACATTTTGTAACAAACAATTTGTAATCATACCACAGCAAATCAACAATTTATAATTTTTCCCAACAATTATAATAGAATAATATATCTAACAATTAGAATATCGCGAAATGTGTAATAATATCGCAAAAATATAGAATTAAAGAGAAGAATTTATAAATCTTTATGAATTGTTACAAATTATCATTTCTCAGCACATATGATTTAATTTGATTTGTAAACATCTTTTTAATTATATATAAGTCCTTTCTATTCCTTTATATTTGTTTAAAACTGTTTTAAAAATAATGAACTAAGATTTTTTAGTTCAACTTCCTTCCACACAACAAACATATTGAAAGTATTTCACAATGTTCACAATGTTCACAAAATTAGACCGCGTCAATGTGTCTAAATTACGATTTGGGGGACAAATCAGAAAATTTAAGAAGAATGAATCATTTAGAAAAAATTAATAAGGCTAATAGAATTTTTTTTTGCAGAAAATGCTAGTTTTTTCGATTATTATGTACGTATTCAGGTGTTAAAAATTGGAGATAATCTAATATGATATGGGACGCTCTGTAGTAGATGTGTGTCTTTCTATGAGACTTTTGAAGCAAGTTCTAGACTTTGCATCAGATTTCTTTCTAGTTTATGCAAAAATGACCTTATTTTCTATTGCAAATGATTGTTCTGTTAATCTCTCTGATCTTAGTAAAATGTTAGTTAAGAAACAAATGAAATATTTTGATGTCCCATCGGAACTTCCATGCATGGAAAGTTCCGGTTTTACAAGAACTTTTAAATACAAGAATGAAAATTTTTTATGTTGAATTGGATTCGATGATTACGTAATAACTGAAATGATAAATATGTAATGTAAGAAGTAATGGTCACTGTCGCCTATTTGTGCATTTTTGCATATTTGTCTTTTTTCTTTTGTAAAACTATATATTTAAAAAAAATATTTAAACAAATTTAAACTACACCATTTATATGAACCGTTTATATATGTAGTAAAGCTCTTCGATCATTTAAATATATGTTAGCTATGGCTGGCCAAACGGATGGACCAAATAGGCTAAAATTTGAGGTATCCCTTGAGTAGCATAGGCTAAAAAAACATCGAAATTTTTTTCTCAATAATTTCGAGTTTTTTTCAAAAATTCGATTTTTAAAAATTCCACGGGCAACGCCGGGCACTTATATATATATATATATATATATATATATATATATATATATATATATATATATAATATATAGATAGATATATTATTTATATATAGATAGATATATTAAAATAAAGGGTGGGTTTAAGTGTTCACTAAACTCTAATAAAGGCAGAGTAAGCAATGTCAACTATAATAACAAGTTAGCAAAACAACTTCACCGCCATATTCTAATGAGAACAGAAATAAGGAGAGGAGATCGGGTTTGTTTAAATTTTTATATGACAGCTACAGGGTTCCCCACAAAGGATGAGATTTTAAGGACGACTGTACAGATTTTTTTCATTCCTTTTTCTTACATTAATGTATTTTTGCTTTTTACTTTTTTGTCAAATCATTTATTGAACATTTATAAAAGACTTTATCTTAGACCCAAGTTTAAACATTATAACGTCAGAATTAGAAACTTTTAGGTCGTTATTAAAGTCTCGTCCTTTGTGGGTAACTCTGTATATATGGGTTGAGAGGGTTCTAATTAAAGTTGGAAATATTAAGTAAGCATAGGTGAATGCAGCGCAGGAGGACCGGGCCTGTGCCATCTTCTCCCTTTTCATAGTTCTACTCTTATTGTTACAGAAATACTTTTGCAGGAGTAATGTAAGTATTGAGAGCAATATGGGTTCTTTTTATTCTTTTGAGACGTATAAGAAGTTGAAAGAGCAGTCTTTCTAGCAATAAAAAAGATTGGCGTTCGAGAGATGTCCTAAAAATGTAAATATATTCCCTGTTTCTTTCTCCTTTTAATAATTACTCCTTGTACTATGCAGTACAATGTACTTCGGACAATGTACAAACAGTGTACATAATGTACACAGTAGTGCAATGTACAAGTGTCCACTCCTACCAACTTTATCGCTGAATGTGACAGATCAAGTTCAGACTAGTCAGTGTTGGTCAGTTGTAAACATCCTCTAGGTTGTCTCCAGACACTTGTCAGGGTTTATGGACCAGTGTTTACAAATAATAAGAGATGAAACATCATCTTTTTAAAGGTAATCTTTAAATCTGCGTCCATAATGGTGAGATTTTTTTAAAGGGACTCTAAGCGTAATTTTATGTGACCCTCCATGCAAAAATGGCAATGCCCGATTCACAACGATCCCCTTGACAGCTTAGACTGATCAAAAACGAGGATGATGGCGTCTATCTAACTCAAAGTGTTTATTTTTTGTGAGCTACTAGCTCTATTGGTTCTTTTAGCAAGAAATGCGCTAGTCAATTTCGCAGAGAAACCGCAAATGAAATGAACAACAACAATATCTAATTCATACTTGATCAGACAAAGTTTTCATGTGTACCATTGTAAATCGGGCATTGCTATCTTTGTATATGGAGGGTCACTTGAAAATACGCTCGTTAAACTAACCATCCCTCATTAAATTACCAAAATATTTTGTTATTCTAAATGCAATGATAGCGTTTTGACATGCTTCTTGTGCAATAATTGTTATATTTTACCAAGGCAATCAATAAAGTTAAGTGGAAGTATTTACCGAATTAATTTATAGCAAACTCATTTTCTTCTTGATTTTTCTTCAATAATTTGTAGGTTAGGATATAGTTTGAAAAAGTGGTACATAAATGTTTTTTAAGGCTTGGTTGCCCTTCTCTATCTACTTCATTCTTCGCTTGGACAGAAATGGTCTTATTATGGTAAGAATGTCTGAAATAAGTATGCAATTAGTATATTTAAAAGTTCAGAAATTAGAATTGACCTTGTAAAAATATCTAATGGGATAAATGCTTGCATAGAAATTAATTAAGTGTACGTTTTTGGGCGTTACAACCTTCACTAAGCTATGGTCAAAGATTAATTCTTTATTTGTACGAATGAACATGTGCCCAAAGATATTGTTAAATAAAATCCTTGAAGACTATTTAATGAGATGGTTACCGAAAATTTGTTCTTAAAGATTTGCTTGAATGGCAAAATGGATTATAATTTTAACTGAAAGGCATCTTCCGCGACTTATTTAATAATGGTGGACGACCGCTGTTATTGACTTTGGCATGTTTTAAGCTCAGAATCAGTGGGCTGAGAGCTATCCCAGCTGTGGTGGGTTTCAGCAGTCTCCTATAGCACTGGACTCAGTCAAGAAACATGATCCACAACTTAAATCCATTCTTTTCCATCAATATGGGTAAATTTTACGATATTTTTACAGGTAACGCAATGTTATTTCTCCGTCATCGTCTGTATCACGTGACAATAATACTGCACTGCCATGGTGGGAGTTCTGGTCAATTATATCTATTAAAAATGAAAAATTATTAAATTCAAATAATAATAATAGGATCCGAGCAAACCCAAGTTTCTCAGGCTCCTCTGGGATATCGTTGTATTCAGATTGGTCGCGTATTTACTGAATATGATCTGTTCAATACTTAGAATCTTATACCAAATCTAACATTCATCAGTTTTGGTAAAATTGACTTAGTTTTATATCAATTTCTCGAGACAGGAACATGAGATAAAGCTCTGATAGGTATCGGTCAACTCTTGAAATGGTCAGGTTTCAGACTATACCCCATTTCGTTTTCCTATACAGTCCCTTTAAGGGTAAAATCATGGGGGGGGGGCACCCTCCCCCCAATCTACATTAGACAAAAATAGCCTAATTGGGATAGGGTTAAATTTGACGTTTTCTAATAAGCTAGGATTTGATGACTAGCTCACACAAAAAATTTTAGTTCATTATAAAATTTCGTTATTTTAGCTTTGTTTTCTAGTAAGCTAGAAAATACGCTTTAAAAACGACCTTTTTGACCTTATAATCACTGTAATATCTTTGTATAAATTGATTTTTTGATAATAAATCTGAGTCGGGGGGAGGGGAGGGGGTTGATTCTATTTTGGCACAGTGCACTATTTAACAATTAAGAGGCCATAGCGCTCGGCCCAGAAATTGTCTTGCAACAACCCAAGCACAAAATAAGGCGGAAACAGTTTTATTTAACATGTTAAAAAAAAAAATTTTTTTTGGTCAAATAAGGTGAGAAACGAAAATGTTTTAAAAATTTGTCATTCTGACCCCTTTTTTGTCGCGGTTATGACTTTGTGTCGTTTGTTCCTATGATCGTTTTATCCTATAATCATTCTATGGCCTTTGACCCTATGTTGGTGAACCAGTTAATCTTCCTAGGGACTTGTATCCAGTCCAGATGTACGAGAACGGACATTCGCTGGAAGTAGATTTTAATTTAAGAAAACCAGGTCAGTTATTGATTCTCGTCATCGAGCAGACCCCTCTCCTCGTCCTAACTTAGAGACTCGAAATTTCAATTTAAAACCTTGTTGATCATCGTTGTTTCACATTCAAGGTTTTTGGGCTAAAAAATGCTGTAAAAGAATCTTTATGTTAAACACCAGCAAAATACATTTTCTATTTTTTTCATCAGGCAACATTTTTTTTCTCTAGCAAAATACATTAACTTAAGGGACAATGTTTTATATGTCTCAAATGAATCCTTAAGAATTTGTGTACAACACTACATACTCAGTTCAACTACCTTTCATAGCCGGTTTGTCCCTTTAAACTAGTTTTGTAAATAATTCTGGTCAAAGTGTAAATATCTTCGGTCACAGTATAAATTTTGCATCGTGTAATAAAATCAAACTTATCGAGTATAAAAATCAAATAACCTGGAATCAGGGGCGGATACAAGGGCGTGGCGGGCGGACATTCGCCCCCCCCCCCTGAGATTTTGAGGCAAAAAATGTTCCCAATTTGATAAATGTTATTGTAAACGATAAATTTAGAAATTTGTAAGAAACTAGACTTAAGTTATAATATTCATATCTAGTAATGTTCCTTAATCAATACTCATTTATCAAAATTGTAATATTGTTCCTAATTTTCATGCATAAAAGTATAACTAGTAATTTCTTTTTGTTCTTAAATTGCTAATGTTCCTATTATTGTTCCTGTTCCTAATACTGTGTCCGACCCACCTAAAATCCCTGTCCTAATCCTTTATTTTTGTTCCTAATTCCTGAAAAATCTGTTTATTGTTCCTAAATCCCTGTCCTAATCCTATATTTTTGTTCCTAATTCCTGAACAATGTTTTTATTGTTCCTATATCCCTGTCCGAATCCTTTAATTTTCCTAATTCCTGAACAATCTTTTAATTGTTCCTAAAATCCTGTCCTAATACTTTATTTTTGTTCCTAATTCCTGAACAATCTTTTAATTTTACCTAAATTCCTGTTCTAATCCTTTAATTTTGTTCCAAAAATTCATTTAAGTCAACAAATTTTTTGTTCCTAATTATTCATTTTTTTTGTTCCCAAAAAAAATTTGCCCCCCCCCCCTCACTTAAATCCTGTATCCGCCCCTGCCTGGAATGTTAAAAATTTACCTTGAAACTATGCTCGTTAATATTTGTAAGTTTCACAAAATTCTGCATCGTATTCGCTACCTTCCCAAAAATTGTTTCTGCGTAAATGCTAAATTTCGTGAAAAACTATGTGAAATAACAAAGAGAAATTTTGTAATCCTGGATCTAATCCTTGATGTTCAGGACGGATAAACCCAGAGATCAGTAGAATACATGGAGTACCAGAAAAAGACAGGTTAATCCTTAAACTACACAGGGTGTCCCTTTAAACATTCCTTTAATTACACAGGGTGTCCCTTTAAACATTCCTTAAATTACACAGGGTGTCCCTTTAAACATTCCTTAAATTACACAGGGTGTCCTTTAAACATTCCATAAATTACACAGGGTGTCCTTTAAACATTCCTTAAATTACACAGGGTGTCCCTTTAAACATTACTTAAATTACACAGTGTGTTCCTTTAAACATTCCTTAAATTACAAAGGGTGTCCCTTTAAACATTCCTTTAATTACACAGGTTGTCCCTTTTAACATTCCTTAAATTACACAGTGTGTCCCTTTAAACATTCCTTAAATTACACAGGGTGTCCCTTTAAACATTTTCAATTGCACAGGGTGTCCCTTTAAACATTCCTTAAATTACACAGGGTGTCTTTTAAACATTCCTTAAATTACACAGGGTGTTCTTTAAACATTCCTTTAATTACACAGGGTGTCCTCTAAACATTCCTTTCAGTACACAGGATGTACCTTTCAACATTCCTTAAATTACACAGGGTGTCCCTTTAAACATTCCTTTAATTACACAGGGTGTCCCTTTAAACATTCCTTAAATTACACAGGGTGTCCCTTTAAACATTCTTTAAATAACACAGGGTGTCCCTTTAAACACTAAACTATCAAACTATCGTCCAACTCCCTGAAATTAAATTGTTATCATTTTCATATTTCAATTATTATTTAATCATTTATTATCATTTAGTTATTTATGCATTTTTAATTTCTGAATTTGAATATTTATCGCCGGTTCTTCTGATTCTGAATTATTTACTGATTTCACTTGTTCTTCAACCACTGATTCAGGTTCGAGTTTGCACAAATGCATCTCCACATTGGAGTTGAGGATTCCAGAGGGTCAGAACACAGGTAGAACGATATTTATTTTTCATTTCATAATACAGGGTTTTAATTAAAGGGAGTGTTCGCGCAAAATTAAAGGAAGTATCCTCGTTTAAATTGCATCATAAACAAATTAAAAATAGTATGAAATATCAACTTTATACAAATGCGTCGAAAAAAAATCTCTGATCATGGATAATAGGTTACAATATCAAATGATTTGTTTGGAAATAATTTTTTTACGATCCAATTGTATGAAGCAACTTTCTAAATTTGACCGGACTCTACATTCTTCGGTATAAGTCGTTTTTAACAATTTTCTCCTTATAAACGCAACAGAAGAAATGTTGGCCCAATTTAGAATATATGGCTTTGGGTCTTATTGTGTTTGCTATGTATTCGGAAAAAAACCTTACTGATTTTTGTGTATAGAGGGGGTTATAAAGAAAGGTTGCTGGTCCGTCCTTGAATATTATTTTGCCTATTGGAGATTTTTATACTTATTATTTAGTTTGGGAGGGAAGAAATTTCCTGGTGAAATTCACCTTGTTCATTGGAATAATAAGGTAAGTTTTTTTAAATGAATGTTTTTCACAGTTGACTCAATTATTTCCTCTTGAATCAGTGATTCCCTGTGGAATCAGGGATTCCCTGTGGAATCAGTGATTCCCTGTGGAACCAGCGATTCCCTGTGGAACCAGCGATTCCCTTATTTGGTCCAGCATAGTAACCATACACTGCTAGCTTGTTTAAATGATATGATACTTAACTTTATAAATTAAATGCATGTTGGATAATAATACTTTATTTAGTATGCCAACATTTCTGAAGCAGTTACCCACCGGGATGGAGTAGCAGTACTTGGATACTTCTTAGAGGTAAAGTTATTTATTTTTGGTTTGAAATGTGCATTTTCTTCATAAACCAAGTAAAAGTTATTTTGTTCTCTAACTCTTTGAGGGTTGATAGGAAAGAAAATGGTATGATTAAACAATTTTGAAATTGGAAAAGACTCTGTAGAAAATCTGTTATGACAGTTATAAATTCCAATAAAGTGTTCTGATTGTATTATCCAGGTGGCATCTGGTGACAATCCTATTTTTGGACCATTCATTGATGCTTTGCCTCTGATCAACGGGACTGAGATCGATATTCCTGATGGAGAGTTGCTTCCTGCTGGAGTTGCTGGCAATAAGACCTCTGTTGGCAACATGGCCCTGGACTTCTTGCTACCGAAGAATAAAAATGGAGACTTTTATTTTTACAAGGTATTTATTCCAGCTTATCTTTATAACCATGTGTCTATTGTCTCTGATGAAAATAGGCTTCTAAGAGATGAATGAGTGTCAACATGGTATAAATGCAAGATAAAAAAATTGAGAATATCGATTAAATTCAGAGGCTTTTTAATGAATTTTAGCTGCGTCTTTGAGACACGACTCAATCATGGTTGGCTCCACTTATAATTTTATTTAGTGTTTTGAGATTTGGCCGGCGCTCTATTGGAACCGGTTTTTGGCTATTCATAGGACGTGGTTTTAATTTTTTTAAATTTGGCTTCATCTATAATAATGATTTCTTTCAAATTTTTTATTTGTAAAAATCTAAAAGAATTTTTGCTTAAACATGATATAAGATTTGAAGAATTTGATTTTAAACTGATCTGACATATATTATCCTCCAGGGTTCTTTAACTACACCTGGTTGTAATGAGGGACTAAATTGGCATGTTTTCACAGATACTATACCTATCTCAGGTGAACATATTTTCCTACCCACATGCATGCATAACATTTTACGCCAACTGCCTGAAAATATTATGTGTATTGCTTAGTAAGCTGAATTGATTTTTCAAAATTCTTAGAAATATAAAAATGGGGTTCTCAAAAGAACCAAAGTAATTTTATATTCAATTAAAATTATGAAAAAATAATTTTTTGGTGCTTCTTAATCACTGATAATTTTTAATTGAATAACTTATTTGATTTGCATAAATGCCAACTCAATCTTTGTTGTCCAAATTTTAATGTTTTAGATTTTATCTTGAATAATTAGTTTTGCATTTTTTGTGCAGATTTTGTGCTTTTCACAATAAACAATTTCTCAGATTTTGCTAGATCTTCAAGGAGATGACAATTAGAACGAATGGATAATTTTTTAGAAAAACAGTTGGAAAATTTTCGGTCTGTAGTGTCAAGCCAGGGCAAGAAAATCTCCAACAACTATAGGTTCATTCAACCCCTGAATGGTAGAAAGGTAAATTATACTGTGTTGAAATTGAGGAAACCCTAATCTTTTGCTGTTAAGGTGCTTCAGTATCGACCATTCTTGTCTTCTAAACCCAGTTCAGTTCCTTCCAGACGAAATTTTCAGTACTCCAGGCCTAGAGTTGGAACATCTCGACAACAATTTGGTCCTCCAATGCAGCAATACCAGAATCAAAATTATCAATCTTACTCTCCTACTGGTTCTCACAACCTTGGGAATAAAATTAACAGTGGTTATTTTTATCCCCAGGCCCACCTGGGATATTCTCTCAATGTTCTTGGTCAAACCCTGCCTCTGTCATCTCCACCAAATAATCCAGTTGCTCCTTCTCAGGCATATTCTCTTCCAACCACTCCACCAACTCCTAAATATTCATATCTTGCTCCAAGATACCAGCTTAAACCTGATCCAATTCAATCCAACTATCCAATGAGATACATCAATCAGCCTGAACCTGATACAATTCAATCCAACTATCCAATAAGATACATCAATCAGCCTGAACCTGATAAAATTCAATCCAACTATCCAATGAGATACATGAATCAACCTGAAAACAACCGTCAATTGTATGAGGATAATCAAGCTGATGCTTACAATGGGATTAATACACCTAACTACAAGTATCCTGTTGACTTTAATTATCAGACGCTATATGATAATGAAGCTGATTCCATCAATGGCGCTGACTCCAGCTATAGTGCCTATTCTAGCTATCGCGATGACTCTAGCTATGGAGCTGATACTAGCTATGGAGCTGATACTAACTATGGAGCTAATGCTGGCTATGGAACTAATGTTGGCTATGGAGCTGATGCTAGCTATGGAGCTGATGCTAGCTATGGAGCTGATGCTAGCTATGGAGCTGATGCTAGCTATGGAGCTGATGCTAGTTATGGAGCTGATGCTAGCTATGGAGGGGATGCTAGCTATGAAGCTGATGCTAGCTATGGAGCTGATGCTAGCTATGGAGCTGATGCTGACTATGGAGCTAATGTTGGCTATGGAGCTGATGCTAGCTATGGAGCTGAGCTATGGAGCTGATGCTAGCTATGGAGCTGATGCTAGTTATGGAGCTGATGCTAGTTATGGAGCTGATGCTAGTTATGGAGCTGATGCTAGCTATGGAGCTGATGCTAGCTATGGAGCTGATGCTAGCTAGCTATGGAGCTGATGCTAGCTATGGAGCTGATGCTAGCTATGGATCTGATGTTAGCTATGGTTCCGAGTCGAGCTTTGGCGCCGATTCTAGCTATGGCGCCCCAGGATATAAGCCAGTTTCTTTCTACCACCAAGGCGATACTGAGATAAATTACGGAGAGATGGTAGTTCAGCCAAATGAGGAAAAACAATTGCCCCCAACAAAACCCTTGGATAATACAATGATGCATGGCAACTACAGAACTTATAATCGTAGATTTTAAGTGTTATGTACTGCAGTCTTTTATGTAACAATGTTTTTCAGTTTATAATCTTGTGATCTTTCAGATTTACAGCCTGCAAACTGATACTTAAAATGTATTTGATTTTTACCGAAATTAGCATAATTTATTTACATAGATCCTTGAATAGTCCTATATATATACATATATAATATTAATAAATAGTGGAATAAGACCTGAAATTTTTTTAAGAAGGAGAAAGTTAGTGATGGTGTAGCCCTGGTACATATTTATGTACAAAAGTACAATATAGTGTTAGGTTAGCCCTGGTACATATTTATGTACAAAGGTACAATAAAGTGTTAGATTAGCTCTGGTACATATTTATGTACAACGGTACAATACAGTGTTAGATTAGCTCTGGTACATTTCTATGTACAACGGTACAATACAGTGTTAGTTTAGCCCTGGTACATATTTATGTACAACTGTACAATAGTGTTTGTTTAGCCTTGGCACGTATTTATGTAAAACGGTAAAATACAGTTTAAGATTAGCCCTGGTACATATTTATGTACAACTGTACAATACAGTGTTAGTTTAGCCCTGGCATGTATTTATGTACAACGGTACAATACAGTGTTAGATTAGCCCTGGTACATAATTATGTACAACGGTACAATACCTGATCAAACCCTGTATTTCACAAGCAACAAACTTGGTAAGTTTCAACATTTCACAAGGGTAAGAATTACTTCTACGCTCAGGTTGCATTATTGTTAAGTTTCCTACAGGGTGTCCCAAACAACATGGGAATTCAGTGACGAATTTGATATCGTCTTTGTTATGAATTAGCATTGTAATACCTAATTTTAAAAGCCATAATATTATTATGTCTGCTAGGTTTATTTTGTGAAAAGGGTAAACGACTGTAAAGATGTGTTAATAATGTCTCCGCAAGATGAACAGTGAAGACGGACAATTTTACTCTGTTTGTATACTGCAATTTTCTTGTTAAGTACAACGAGGGAGGAAGTCAAGAGTTACTCAAATAGTAATCACCGCCACCCAAATCTGTTTTGCAGCAAGCGCGCTCCTCAATTGGTAATCTCCACCACCTCAATTAGTAATCACCATAAAATTTTATTTTCTGTGATTTGAATTTAATGCACTTTTGACACAATTTTCGACCTCTATCGGGGTTTTATGGCATCTGTATTGACTTAAACTAAATTTTCAAATTATTTTCAGATTTGTTTGGTCAACAAAAACTGAGAATCAAGGCAAAGTTCACTTTAGCCGAATCTTAGATCCAATTCGCCACTTTAATGACTGCATTTCATGATTGGCGTCAAGATACAAAAAAGGTCGGGCTGCCTGTTTACTAAAAATTATCTCATCCCACCCAAAGTAATATCAATCTCCATTTAAAAGATATTTTCAAAAAACCTTTACAGTGTTTAGATTTTTGTATTCGCCAACTCGAGTTCAACATCTACAACAAAACTAATTATATGCATAGAAAGAACATAAAATTTTGAAAAATTAGTCTCATCACACCCACTACTGAAAATGAAGTATTTAGTCCACTAATAATGGGTTAAAGTTTACTCTCTATATAAGGAGTTTAAAACAACATTCAGAGGAAAATGCCGCAAACATTCTTAAAGCAAAACTTGAAACTAAAAATCGTAATACATTTCTAGCACTTAGTGTGGCATATTTATAGATTTATTTTCGAAACTAAGGAAGCTTTAACAATATTGTACACCATAGGGCCATTAAAAGAGGTCAATATGGTCTTATTTCTAAGAAATAAACGATTTAATGTTATGCTTTTTTGGGCTGATTACTATTTGAGGTGGTGGAGATTACCAATTGAGGAGCGAGCTTGCCGCAAAACAGATTTAGATGGCGGTGATTACTATTTGAGGAACTCTGGACTCCCTCCCTCGTAAAACCGTATGCAGTCAAAACATAAACAAACAATTTGTGAACATAGCAGACGAAACTCTTAAAGATTACAGCTTTCTCAGTAGGTATCACTTTACTAAATCAAAGAATTATTTAAAAAGACGATATTGAATTCGTCACTGAATTCTCATGTTTATTGGGACACCTTGTACATGTGAAATGCCATTTTAAAACTTAAATGATGAAAAAGTACAACTATTGGTTTAAAAGAAGGGGAGGGTAGAGCTCTTAAAGCATAGAAATAAAAAAATTTATGTTTTTTTACAGAATTCATTTTATTATTTTTAATTTTATTTTTATTTTCATTTTTATTCTTATTCAACAAAACCTTAAATATAGAATCCTCTTTAAAATTATGACATCCAGACCCTTAATTCAAAATAAGATTGGGATGGATATGTTTTGCAGTAACCCGTCCACAGGCTGATGGTGAAGAACTCTTCTATAAAAGCTGACTACCAAAGTAGAACAATTCTTTTCAAAATAAAAAAATGTTGGTTCAGGGTTCAAAGTTTTCTATCCAATTGTTAACACAAATTAGAAATATAAGGAAGACAATTTTACCGACTCAGATGCTGTTGACTATTCTCAAGACGTGTGTATCTGTTTCCGCCATGAAGCACTCAAATGTCACCCTCGCTCCTTTGTTCCCCACTCACCCCTCTACACATCCCAGCCCAGCAGTCAGCCTGAAACACTCAAGACGATCACAACTCCGTCTCAACCCTGACTCCTTCATGATGGTGATTCAGATACTGAGATAGATGCAGACTCTGCTTACATCTAGCCCCAATGCTCCACAGATCAACATTATCATGCATCACAGAGACAACAAATTTGCTAAAGTCTATCATACCAATTATCATGGGGCCTATCTATCATTTATTTGATTTATCTTTCAAAACTGGGTTTATTCCTACCACTCTTAAAACTGCAAAAATCGTCCCAATCTTCAAGGCTGGGGAAACGGATAATTTTACAAATTATAGGCCTATTAGTTTGCTTTCTTCGTTTTCAAAACTTCTAGAAAAAGCGGCAGCAATCAAATTATGAAATATTTGAATAAATTGGAACTACTTTATGAACATCAGTATGGCTTCAGAGCAAAGCACAACACTACTCAACCCTTAATTCATTTCTTAGATAAAATATACAATGCACTAAATAAACCTGTATCGGAATATACTCTGGGAATTTTTTTAGATTTAACTAAAGCTTTTGATACCTGTGATGTCGACATTCTACTGAGCAAGCTTGAATACTATGGATTTCGTGGGACTTCTAACTTTTGGTTCAAAAATTATTTAAAGGGAAGAAAACAATTTACTTCAATCAGGGGTGTTGACTCTTCACTTAAAGAAATCTCTTGTGGTGTACCACAAGGGTCAATATTAGGACCAATTTTATTTCTAATTCTTATCAATGACCTTCCTAAAGCATCAAAATTTTTTACAATTCTTTTTGCTGATGATACAACACTGCAACTTTCTTCAAAAAAGCATACACAACTTATATGATTTGGCAAATTTTGAGCTCTCTAAAATAGAAGATTGGTTTAAAGCAAACAAACTGACTTTGAATGCGTCTAAAACCAAACATATTCTCTTCAAAAATAAAAAAGAAGATGTAAGTATCACCTCGCTTAAACTTCAAATAGATAATAAAGATATAGAAAGAGTAGGAACTGGATGCAAAAATGAATCTTTTAAGTTTGTAGGTGTTCATTTAGACGAAAATCTTAACTGGAACCATCATCTTAAGGCGGTTAAAAACAAAGCATCCAGTGCAGTTTTTGCTTTGTCAAGTGTAAAAAATTTTCTTCCTAGTAATATTTAACTAACCATTTACAACTCTTTATTTCGATCATTTATAGAATATGCAATTTCAGCCTGGGGATGTAACAAATGTTCAGAAATGAAACAAATTCACATTTTACAGAAACGAACAATACGATTAATTGATAACTCAAAAGCCACGTCTCATAGTGATCCTCTTTTCCTTAATTATATGATTCTAAAGATTAATGATCTGGTAACTTTAACCAAGCTATATTTATGTATAAATATACACATAAACTTCTTCCTGCATCTTTTGAAAATATTTTTAAATAGCTTGGAAACTTTGAAAGATCTCTTAACTATCAACTTGACATTCTTAAAATGTTCTCATTACAGTATTTACCATCAAGCTCTCTTCTTAAGATGTGGAATAACCTGCCTCTTGAGTTAAAAAGAAGCAACTCTCTAAGTATATTTAAAAATAGACTACTAAATTCTCTTTATGAAAATTATAGGACAATGTGTTATAAACCGAATTGCTATTCATGTAAAACTAATTACATGTGTTTTAATATGCTTTGATATTTGTTGTCACACCCTGATCTCTAATCACTCTCCTTAAATCTATTTAATTGAAATATTTTGTTATTATTACTAAAATTAGGTGGAAAAAATAATCAAAACAGCCAAGAGCTATTTTCCACCTAATTGCTTTATACTTGTATTGTTAATATAATCATCAATTTTGTGATTGTAAACTCTATCTATATACAGATACATTTATTTTAGCAATAAACTTTATCTTATCTTATCTTATCTAACATAATCGCTCAATGCACACGGTAAAAACGTGATATCTCTCCCATAGCCTGAAACCTGGTTGTGAGCAAACCTGCTGTGATTGAAGATATGCACCACCAACATGAAGCTCTATAAATATGTTCCAACTGATGTTCGTCAATAGTTTTCTTTGTTCATTTTTAACCAACCAATTTTACTCAG